TGCATAGCTTTTCTACAAATTGCCTATTCATATCCCTTACCCATTTTCCCCAAAGGGTGTCCATCTTTTTTCTTATCATTTCACAGGTGCTTATTGCCTATTACAGGTATTGGTCCCTTGTCCATTTTTGATATTACAAATAATTTCTCCCAATCTGACAAATGCCTATTAATGGTCTGTCTTACCTTCCTTTAAACCTAAATTCTTAGTTTTGACATAACGAACCTCATCAATGTTTTGTCCTATGACCTGTGCTTTTGAAGTCTTAAGAAGTCATTCCCTGTCACAGAGATTCAAAGATATTCTCCTTGATTCTTTTTTCTATTGACCTTATAAGTGTATCCTTCCCATATTGGTCTTTAATACTTACATACTTCATGTGTGGTGTCAGATAGGAACCTGCATTTAGTGTTCCCCTCACAGTGAGACAGTTTTCTTTCTTTCTTTCCTTCTTTCTTCCTTTTGCAGCTCACCAGCTCCTTAGTTGTGGCACGTGGGCTCCTTCGTTGTGGCTCAAGGGCTCCTTAGTTGTGGCTCACTGGCTCCTTAGTTGTGGCATGTGAACTCTTACTTGCGGCATGCATGTGGGAGCTAGTTCCCTGGCCAGGGATCGAACGCTGACCCCTGCCTTGGGAGCTCAGAGTCTTAACACTGCACCACCAGGGAAGTCCCGTGAGCCAGTTTTCTCAACACCACTTATTAAGTGTACCTTTCTTTCCCCCATTAATTTGAGTTGCTACTTTAACATATTTTATAGAGAGTATAGAAAACTACACTGAGTTCCCATGGGCCTCTTTCTGAGCTCTTGCCGTGCGTCACTGATCTATTTGTCTGTCCTAATTCTTCACTTTAAAAAATACATCAATTTTCTTTTGTAGCATGTCTTAATGTCTAGTAGAGCAAGAAGCTTATTTCTTGCACCACCACAGCCCTATTCTCACCGCTTACATCACCATGCAGGAAACACACTGATCCTCTCTCCACCCTTAATGGAAACTATTTACTGACATCTGTCCCATCCTGGTTCTGGAGCCAGTCTCCTTATCGGAGCCAGTCTCCTTATCAGAAGAGACACACCCTCATCCAGGAAGAGAAAGTCAAACCTGCCAAGGATGGGCTTCCCTGGTGGCGCAGTGGTTGAGAGTCCGCCTGCCGATGCGGGGGACACGGGTTCGTGCCCCGGTCCGGGAGGATCCCACGTGCCACGGAGCGGCTGGGCCTGTGAGCCATGCCCGCTGAGCCTGCGCGTCCAGAGCCTGTGCTCCGCAACGGGAGAGGCCACGGCAGTGAGATGCCCGCGTACCACAAAACAAACAAACAAACAAACAAAAAACCTGCCAAGGAAGATGTGCACAGTGTCTTAGCTCAGCACTCAGTTCCTAGAAAATTGATTTCCCCCCCATTTCCTCTGTATCAGCATATACTGAAAACCAACTCCAGTAGCCCAGACACTCGAGGTCTTATTCTCTCTGTTTTGAGCCCAGATAATTGGAAGTCCATGCCTGGAGCAGGTACTTAAGTAAGTCGTCAACAATGCAGGCTTCCTCTTCTTGTGATCAAATCTTTTTTTTAAAATAAGTTTATTTATTTATTTTTGGCTGCATTGGGTCTTTGGTGCTGTGAGTGGGTTTCTCTAGTTGCAGCGAGCGGGGGCTACTCTTCTTGCAGTGTGCGGGCTTCTCATTGCAGTGGCTTCTCTTGTTGTGGAGCACGGGCTCTAGGTGCACGGGCTTCAGTAGTCGTGGCACGTGGGCTCAGTAGTTGTGGCTCACTGGCTCTAGAGGGCAGGCTCAGTAGTTGTGGCGCACGGGCTTAGTTGCTAGGTGGCATGTGGCATCTTCCCAGACCAGGGCTCGAACCCGTGTCCCCTGCATTGGCAGGCGGATTCTTAACCACTGCGCCGCCAGGGAAATCCCACGATCGAATCTTTATTTGTGGCTTTTATCCTCAAAGTGGCTGGCCTACCTCAGGCACCTACCTGCCAGGTGAGAAGAGAGGGAAGGACCAAACATAATGCTCTCCGTTTTATCGGCAAAACAAAAGCCTCCCAGGAAAACCCAGCTGCTAGGTTTCAGCTTATGTCTTCATTTTTTTTTAAACACCGATCCATGCATGACCCTCTTTTATTTTACTTAGTTATTCGTGCACTCATTTCAACAAATAATAAATATCTGTGAACCCAACATCCAGGCCAAGAACCAGAACACTGACTATTGTTTACATGTATTTTTACATTCCTCCCCGGTCTGTCCTCCTGTCTATAGCTGCAACCCAAGTTATCTATCATACCTCAGCTTATGTCTTACTGCTTAGAACTGGATCACGTGGCCACCTGGTGAACATTTTTATTTAGGTCATGTGCCACCCCGAGCAACAGATGGTCTCAGGTGGCAATGCAGTGCAGAGAATGATGACTACGTCTCAGTTTTGCCCAGCTTGCTCTGTGCTGAGTCAGACAAGCTCACAGTCCACAATTTCTGCCTCCTGGCCCACACACTTCCCTTCTGATGTCCTGCTCACCCTTGAGCCTGAACCCCATCCAGGATGCTTCTGGGTTCTGTCATCAGGAGGAATACGCATGGGAATGGGGTGGTTGGAGCATCAAAGTATTCTCCTAAACTGTTTTCACCATAGTTTTAGCAAACATTACATTACGAAAACGTCAAATGGTTTAAAACTGTTGAAGAAACTAGAAACTATTCAAATGCTTATTCACAGTTAAAATGGGTAAATAAATGGGAGTACATTCACAAAATAATATACTTGGCAACAGTGAGAAGGAAATGTTTACAACTACAGATGAAAATCTGGGTGAACCAGACAAATAAAACATTGACATCCGGATGCTGAAGACTAAAACTCGTGTCTCCAGATGTGTCCTTTTCCTTGACTGCACGCTGCTGCTGCTGGAAGGGTGACTGGAGGCTCCACCTGCACTAGGCGGCCCCACCTCCTTGGCCATAGCTGACTGGACCCAGAGTCAGCACCTCCCGTGAGCATCCAATCAGGTTTTTTCTCTCTCTCAGTCGACTGTGAACTAAGACAAGCCAATCACTGGAGCCAGTTATCAGGGGGATGATGGAAAATAGAGGATGCCCCTTGCAGGGAATGAGAAGAGAGAGACCGCGAAAGCAAGGTCACGTGGAGGAGGAGTGAAGAATCCCAGAGGCAGCTGCTTCTGTCCTGACATTTTCCAAATGCAAGTCATGGAGAGTCTGTTGTTAACGCACCTCCCTTTTCAACTCTGGCCAATAAGCAGCTCCATTTTGTTCTCCACCAACAGCCAGAATGATCTGCTTAGCTCACGTCACCATCTGGCTTTAAAACCTCTGGTGGCTTCCCAACCTTTTAGGAAAACCAACCAACCAGCTTCCAGGTATGTTGGTCTTCTTTGCGTCCGGAGAAATGCCCAGCCTGTCCCCATCTCAGAGCCTTTGCACTTGTCCTCCTATCAGGGACACCATTCACGGGGCTAGTCCCTTTTCATCCCAGACGTCTCAGCTCAAATGACACCTCCTCTGAGAGGCCCTTCATGTTAGTTTCCTGTTGCTGCTGTAACAAATTATCACAAATGTAGCTGGCTTACAACACAAATTTACTGTCTTATTGTTCTGGAGGTCAGACGTCCAAAATGTTGTCGCACTGGGCTAAAATCAAGGCATTGACGGGCAGGGCTGAATTCCTTCTGGGGGCTCTAGGGGAGAATCCACTTCTGTGCCCTTTTCATTACCTAGAGGCCCCCTACATGCCTGGGTTCGTGGCCCCTTCCTCCATCGTCAAAGCCATCAGCAGAGCATCATCCAATCTCTCTCTCATTTTGACCCCCTATCCTGCCTCCTTCTTATAAGGACCCTTTGGATTCTACTGGTCTCTCCCTCTCAAGATCCTTAATTTAATCACAGCTGCAAAGTCCCTTTGCCATATAAAGTAACATATTCACAGGTTCCAGGGATTAGGATGTGGTCATCTTGGGGTGATGGTGGGGGTCGGAGTAGCTACTGCTCTCCCGCACCCTTCGGACCTTCCAGTGTAAATATACAACCTCCCAACGTTCCTCCTCTTTCCTCATGCCCTGTTCTCCTTTTATTCATATCACGTACTTATTATAGTATATAATGTATTTGTCTATTTTTTTTTTTTTTTTTTTTTTTTTTTTTTTTTTT